CCTCTCTAGGCTCAATCAGGAAGAAATAGAATTCCTGAACAGACCAATATCAAGTACCAAAATTAAATCAGCAATAAAAAAATCTTCCTAAAAAGAAAAGTGCTGAACCAGATGGTTTCACACCCGAATTTTACCAAACCTACAAAGAAGAATTGCTGCCTATCCTGCAAAAATTATTCCACAATATCAAGAAGGAATGAATACTCCTCATTTTATGAGGTCAACATCACCCTGATAACAAACCCAGGAAAAGACACAACAAAAAAAGAAAACGACCTCTACAGAGAGAACTATGAAACACTGAGGGAGGAAATAGCAGAGAATGTAAATAGTTGGAAAGCGATACCATGCTCATGTGTCAGCAGAATCAACATTGCTCAAATGTCTATACTACCCAAAGTGATCTACAGATTCAAGGCAATCCCTATTAAAATACCAACATCTTTTTTCACAGATCTAGAAAAAATAATTCTATACTTTGTATGGAACTAGAGAAGACCCCGTATAGCAAAAGCAATCTTAAGCAAAAAGAACAAATGGGGAGGCATCCGTTTACCAGACTTCGAGCTATACTACAAAGCTATAGTAACTCAAACAGCTTGGGACTGGCACAAGAACAGAGACATAGACCAATGGAACAGAACTTAGAACCCAGATAGAAAACCGTCCTTAGATAGGCATCTCATCTTTGACAAAGCAGACAAAAACATACATTGGGGGAAAGAATTATTATTCCATAAATGGTGCTGGGAAAATTAGCCACATCTAGAAGGTTGAAACAGGATCTGCATCTTTCATCTCTCACAAAATCAACTCACAGTGGATAATAGACTTAAGGCATGAAACTATAAGAATTCGAGAAGAAAATGTTGGAAAAACTCTTATAGACATTGGCCTAGGCAAAGAATTTATGAAGAAGACCCTAGAGGCAATCACAGCAACAATAAAAATAAATAAATGCGGCCTGGTCAAATTAAAAAGCTTCTGCACAGCCAAGGAATGTATCACGAGAACAAACAGACAACCTACAGAATGGGAGAAAATATTCACATGCTACACATCTGATAAAGGACTGATAACTAGAATCTATTTAGAACTCAGGAAAATCAGCATGACAATATCAAACAATCTTATCAAAAAGTAGGCAAAGGACATGAACAGAAACTTTTCAAAAGAATATAGACTAATGGCCAAGAAAGATATGAAAAAATGCTCAGCATCTCTAATCATCAGGGAAATGTAAATCAAAACCAAAATGAGATATCACTTATCCCCAGTGAGAATGGCCTTCATCAAAAAGTCCCCAAAAAACAAATGTTGGCATGGATGTGGAGAAATAGGAACACTCATACACTATTGATGGGACTACAAACTAGTACAACCTCTGTGGAAAGTAATATGGAGATACCTCAAAGAGACACAAGTAGATCTACCATTTGATCCAGCAATCTCATTACTGGGCATCCAACCAAAGGAAAAAAAGACATTTGTACTAGAATGTTTATAGCAGCACTATTCACAATTGCGAAGATGTGAAACAACCCAAGTGCCCATCAATACATGAGTGGATTAATAAAATGTGGTAGATGTATACCATGGAGTTCTACTCAGCCACAAAAACAATGGTGATGTAGCACCTCTTGTATTATCCTGGATAGAACTGGAGCCCATTCTACTAAGTGAAGTATCCCAAGAATGGAAAAACAAGCACCACATGTACTCACCATCAAATTGGTATTAGCTGATCAACAATTATGTACACATATAGTAGTAACATTCATCGAGTATCTGGCAGGTGGGAGAGGGAGGAGAGGATGGGCATGTTCACCCCTAATGAGTGCAGTGTGCACTGTCTGAGGGATGGACATGCTTGAACCTCTGATTTGGGTGGGGCAAAGGCAATCTATGTAACTTAAACATTTGTACCCCTATAATATGCTGAAATAAAATAATAATAATAAATAAAAAGTAATAAACATGGATTCAGTTGAAATGAATTATGTTTATTCTACTTGTTGAAAGAAAACTTGCAGTTTGTTCAACTTTGAAACAATAATTCATGGCTTGCTTCTGGGTTAGTATGAGATCTCTTCTGGAGACAAGAAGGGCACTTAGTATGTGTAGTTGTCCTCAAATGTATAATTTGTGCTGAAATGAGATGCTTAGTGAGACCTCACCATTGAGTGTTTTAGATCCTCTTTAGACAGGGCACATGAAAAATATCAAGCAACTTTAGCAGAGTCTGAAACAATTTGTTTTTCTAGAAAAACAATATCACAGCCATGCATTATTTCCTGATATCTTACCTGGAGAGCAGCCAGAGGGAACCTCTCAAGGATTTGTCATTCCAGTGTTCTTATCTCTCATGGAAATACTGCATGTGGGATTTTTTTTTGTTTGTTTTTCGCAGTTACGGTAAATAGTAATTGGATAGCATCAGAGTTTGTAATCACTCATCTCACTCATTTCAATTACTGCCTGAATCCCAGCATTTGTGATATTGGTTTTCATTACAGTCGTATTGAATTTGAGTAAAACAAGAGAAATTGCGTTGTACAAATGTGTATTTGTCACACCAATGGAAACTGCATCAGGCAAATACTGCACCTCTCTCAGCAGTCCCATCTTCCAGTCACACAAAGCAAACGAAAAAATATCAGGAGATGCACAATAAGCTTTTTAAATTCTGAGGGATTAACTTAATGGGCATATGGAGAAGAGACTTGGATACGTGTACTTCAATGGCAAAGGGTCTTTTCTCACTATTTACATTCTGAAAACAGAGTCCCCCATATTGCAGTGATTAGAGATTGATTTTATTAATTCTAAAAACCTGGCAGTGGAGCTTAATAAATAGTTCCTTTAGAAAGCACAGCCTTTAGGGTTACCAGTGTGGTTCTGTCACCCATGCTATTCCACATTTTATAGGAACCTAATACTGCTAGCTGCTTACATCACGAGACAGATGCCATATAGCAGGTGGCTGCAAGGTAGTACTGTGGAAAAGTTGGGGATTTCAGGAGATGATACCTCAAGAATGCAGTGTCTCCACTAAGCTCAATAAAAAAAAAAGCCCTAGTACATTTTCAGTGTGCCTCCTGTAACCTTTCAGAGCTCATATATGTTTATAAACTGTGTTAATAATAGGTTATAAATAATGTTGGATAATAATAATAGCAACAAATGCTTATATAGTGTGGTGTTTATTATTTAGGCCCTATGTACTTTTTAAAATGTACATTTATTTTTGTAGTCATGAAATATACTTAACACAGAATTTACCATTTTAACCATTTTTAAGTGTGTAGTTCAGTGGCATTAAGTACACTCACATCGCTGTGCAACCATCACCACCATCCATCTCCAGAACTTTTTTCATCTTCCCTAACTGAAACTCTGTACCCACTGAACAATAATTCCCTGTCCCCTGCCCCTGGCTCCTGGTAACCGCCATTCTGTTTTCTGCGTCTATGAATTTGATTATTCTAGGTACCTCTAGGTATTCTAGGTATAAGTGGGATCATACAATATTTGTTCTTTTGTGTCTGACTTATTTTACTTAGTGTAAGGTCTTCAAGGTTCATCTGTGTTAAAGTATGTGTCAGAATTTTCTTCCTTTTAAGGCTGAATAATATTGCATTGTATGTATATACCCAAGTTTTGCTTATCTCTTCATCTACCCATGGACATTGGGTTAATTTCCACCTTATGTACTTGTTGTGTATCAACTCTTTCAATCCTCACAATGATTCAGTGATGCAGGTATCTTTATTATCTCCATTTTATGATTAGAAATTTGAAGCATAAGTAATTATGTATGTGTCTAGGTTTACAGGGATAGGCTCTGAAGCTGGTATTCCATCCCAGGCCAAGCAGATCCACAGTTCCTGCTCTTAATCGCTACGCTATCCCATATCCCCTTTCAAATGATTTCAGAATCTAAATACAGCCTGGACCAGCTAGGAATCCATTAGTATAATGTTCTGAGGCCAGGTTCTGACTTAATTTGTACAGGTTTTAAAAGTTTGAAGGAGTATTCAATTTAATAACCAAGCCCCATAGCAACTGATTTATAAAGGATCCCATTACTACAAAATAAAAAAAAAGAGTGCTTTATGCTGGCTCTTGTCCTGGGATACGTTCATTTAGCAAATCCTCCTATATAGAGTGTATATGTCTGTGTGTGTAGAAGCACGGTTATAATATTATCACCATTTTATACAAAGAAAAATTGGGGCATAGGAAGGTGGGACATTACTTGTTAAGAGCCTCAGAGAAAAAAAACAGAATCTGTATCTAATCCCAGATAGTTGCTAACTCCAGAGTCTGTTCTCTTATAGCACAAATTTTATCTTCTTGTCATCTTTGTAAGGAGTGGAAAGTGCAACATTGAGGCCTGTATGTAACACCAATTATCCTTACAGTAGAGGCAAATTTTCCCGGGAAGCCTGTAAATAACAAATAAGTCTATTTGTCAAGAGGCAATCCTTGCATTACTAAAGTGCCTTCATACTGTTACTCTAATTAACAAATCTGAAACTGGGAATGAACTTGCTTTATAAGTCAGTTGTATACACTGTTGTTAGGTTTTGGAAAGCATTGTTGGTATATACATGTCAAGCTTCTCAGAGCAGAAAAATCTCTGAGGGCAGCTTTTTCCTTTTCACAAAGATATGAAGAGTTAGACTCCTGATCCCTGAGCAAAACTGGTGACTTCAAAGCAATTGATCTTTTTCTAACCCAGATGCCTATTTCTGGCTTCCCTTTCCATTTGCTCCATTAGTGCCATCTCTTGCTCCCTTCAGACATTGCCCAGGGCTTTTAAACTCAAATATCCCTCTCCCCAAACACATGCACATTATTAAATTCAAAAGAATCGGAGAATCTGATGCATGTTTTCATTCCGAGCAAGGCCACCACGTACAGACACACAGGCCACTCACTTTTGAGGACACATGTTTCAGGGGACACGATGCTGACCATCCTCTTGTTTCTTACAGAGCTCCAGGACAGCACGCTCCGAGGAGGACCGGGACGGCCTATGGGATGCCTGGGGCCCGTGGAGCGAGTGCTCCCGCACGTGCGGTGGGGGGGCCTCCTACTCCCTGAGACGCTGCCTCAGCAGCAAGTAAGTCCTGTCCCCCTGGGGGCTTTGTGAGAACCACAGGGAGCACGCTTGAAGCCTACTTTTGTGGTTGGAGTTATGCAGAGCATTTCATTGCTCACAAATCCAGATGAAGGAAAGGAATGGAAGAAAGCTACAAAGAATTAAACTTGTATTTTTTCTTATACCCATCTCCAGCTAGGTATTTATATAATCTCATAATAGGCAATAGAGAATTCATGTTATTTACCCAGCAAATTTATCTGTTTTCATGTTAGAACTGGAAGGAGAATTTATTGTTAGAATTGGTTCTTGGATCATTAGTTCCATAATATATCATACTTTTTGTATCATCTTAATAATTACGGTGACAATAATAGCAACAATATTGGCATTAATAAGCATGTTGAGTTTATGTTGAATTTCCAGCATTACCAAGAACTTTGCAAATGAATGCTACACTGGTTTAGCTTTGTAGATGTTCTAATGGCCAGAAGATTCTTAAGGTCATTCAGTTCAATGAATGATGACTTTTGAATAAGGAAGTTTGGAGGAGTAGAAACTTCAGTGGGAACTGCGGCAGGAATTTGAGAGGAATGAAGAAGGTAGAAGGGATGGCTAATGGCTTCTAAGCTAAAAGGAAAGGCCTGAGGCCTTAGAATGGAAAGTTTTTACTTTGAGTAATAATAATTTAAAACTGCTTCTTGAGCTGTGTGGTCTATGACTAGATTTGTCTGCAAACTATAAAATATAAAGTACCATAGTAATATTTTTTAATGAAAGATTTTATTTGACAGTGAAAAGTGTTATGTGCAGCAAGTAGGAGGTTTGATCAAAAGTCACTGTATATTGTATTATAAAACGTGAAAGAGAAAAAGAAAAAATATGCATCTGCATATTCTTCTAGACTTCATAAACAAATAGCAGAGAGGAGTGAGATGTGGGTTCAGGAAAATGTCAACTTACTTTAATAAGAGTGAGAATTTCTTGAAATCAGGGCCTAAGCCTTACTCCTTTCTGTTTCCCCAAGGCCTGCTCAGGGTCTGGCAGATATTAGGAGCTCAATAGATGGTTCTTCACTGAATCTGTTGATAGTTAGAGACTATTTTGGTTCCAGGTAGGTCTGGATGGAAATGCACCCTGAGAACCATGGCCAAAAGGCACATTCAACAATATACCAGATCATTTCTGATATCTGGCGATTCTGGCATTTGGATCTGCATTGATGATGGGCCTATGAGATTGTATCCACCAGCAAGTTTGTGTTTTTTGAGGCCAGCTTCGTATCAACCAGACTCTTGAGCCAATAAGAAAGGAAGAATAGAATTTTCCTCCTTATGATTCACCCACTCTCTTAATCTTGAATATTCTATACGCAAAGAATCCTAGTCATTCTTTAGAAAAGCAAAACTTCCCACCATCATTAAACTCTGGAACAATCTGGGTAGAAATGAAATGTACATTTTCTAATTGTGAAAGGACTGTTTATATATGCCCTATTACATATTCTGACACCGTTCTTCAATAGGGGTTTTTTTGTGTGTGTGGTAAGTTTAGTCTGAACTGTCCTGATTCTAACCATAACACACGGGTTGACTCAGATGTTCAGTCCGTGATTGTCGTGGGCTTTGGGGGATAGCATCCTATCATATGACCTAATTAGCTTCTTAGTTCTGTGCCCTAATGAGTTAAATCTCCCAGCTACAGATTTTAAAAGGAACAAAACTACGATTGAATTATTATCTCCTGAGGTATGCTGATTCTAGAAAATCTGCATCTCCAAGGCAATTTCAAGTTCCACACTGACCAAGTTAATGACTTTGTAATAATACCAAATAAGAATGTTATCCTATTAAATGTTCGGAGATCTTGTGATGCTAACTTTTAGAATAACTTAGCTTCTATATAAAGCACACACTTACTTTCTCGAAAGCATTTGATGATTTAGCCACACAATATGGTGTCATTAAACAGCTTGGACTATTTCTGCTGTGATTCAAGACCCTGTGTATGTTGCATTTTTCAAAATGAGGTATGCATATATGTATACAAACATACACACATATGTATTTGTATATGTGTATGCTGGGCTGTGATAGAAAATATATATCATTTCAAAAAAAATCTAAAAGCTGCTATTGCAGAGAACTCACTCTGCCAGGAGCCTTTTATGGACCCTGGTCATGCCCACTTACCCACGAGGAGTCCCTACCCTAAATGTCACTGGTCCACAATCAAAATTCTGTTTTCTTTACTATGGGATTTATTATTTGGAATCAGAGTTTACCAAACATTTCGGTCTCTCCTTTACTTTCTCTTTCTGCTACTCCATATCATTTCACAAGTTTTATAAATAGGATTTTAACCTGTATATTTTCTCTCTTTTTAAATGTGAAATGAAAGTGTAGGGAAAATCCCCTTTGATATCTAAAGAGAATCAAACATTCATTCTGGATGACTTCTATTCTGCCTATATAGTTTGAATGCATCCGCTCAGGATCTTAGAAGGAAGTGCAATAACTTTCATTATCATTGTCAAACACCTATGAAGCTATTTGTATTCTTGCTTTCTTTTTTTTTCAGTCAAGGTTTTCTTTCACTCTTAACAGCAATTCCTGGGTTGTAGCCTCATATTTCAAATAGCTGAGCTTTCGGCGTTCAGAGTTAATGGAGAAAGTTAGGATCAACTTTTCACTTACATTCTTGTTTAAATAATTTTAATTTTTGTGAAAATAGATAACTCTAAGCAGTAATAAATGTTAAATAAGTACTCTTCTAAAAACAAAATGTAGTATTAATGAAATACATTCTAGCATTTTTCTCATTATTAAATGTAATTAAATCATTACTTAAATATGACCCTAGATCAATCCTTAGGCTGGATTTAGAATGTATTTGACTCTTATAAATTAGAAACAGACATATTGTGAGATTTGTGTTCAGCTCCAAGACTTAAATCCAATTTGATATATTACAAGTTTTCAAGTTTTTTTTCCTGCAACAACCAGTTCCGGCTAGTCTAGTACCAGCAAGAATCTATTCTTTTACTCTACTTAGATCCTTAGCTCTTAGGGAAGCTCTAATTGATATATTAGTTATCCAGTGTACAATAACGCTGCATAACAACCACTAAACCTCATAAATATAGGATAAGAGATTATTGCTTGGCTAGGGGCTCTGATGATCTTGGATAGTCTTGATTACATATCTAGGGTTGGCTGGCTGCTGGCTGATCTAGGCTGGTTTCATTTGGGTCAACTTGGGCAACTTGGTTCTGTTCCACATGTCCCTTATCCTCTAGCAGGCTCACCTAGGCAGGTTCCCATGGTGGCAGTAGCAGTGAAAGAGAAAGCAATTCCCAATGCAGAAGCCCAGTTCAAACCTCTGTGGCATATCTGCCAGTATCCCATTGGCCAAACTAAGCCACCTGCCAAACCCAGAGTCAGTGTGGGAGAGCATAAATGTTACATGGAAAAGCATGAAATATATGGAGGGTAAAAAAATGGGACCCTTTTTGTAGTCTACCATGAATGGTTTTCTGTGCCTTTCTTATTCATTTTTAATGAACGAATGAACTTAATGAGTTCTCTCTTATCTGTCCATTCCAGATTTAAGCTTCTGAATTCAATTCATTCACCTTATTCTCTTGGGAAATATCAGAGGTTATGAATGTATATTCATAGAGACCAGTGGGTCACTGGAATGGGTGTAGTAGTCTAATGGTAAGCATTCAAATTCAGTCCAAATAAATGCCATCTACCTGGTGAATTAGCCTGCCAGGCCCATTTTCTAACCCTGGTAATAAGATCTCTTAGGTTATTTTCAGATCTGTTTTTTTAAGTTTATCAGCTAATAATTATTCTGTTCCCAATATGATAAAACTGTAAAGAGAGCTAGATTACCCAGATTTTATGGAATAAATAACATCTACTCAACTTCTGGAGTTAATTATGTTTCCTGATGGATTGAGAGCTTGTGGGAAGTTTGATGAACCTTCTCAGTAGAGAACACCCTTTCTGAATGATCTTTTGAAGGTTCTAGGAAAAAGATTCAATGAAGGCAAAGCAGAGTGAAAATATAGACAAGGGTCAAATACAAAAGTCTTTACGCTCAACTAGCAATGCTTGGTGCTAGGGGAAAAGCCCTGACCCAGGGGGATACTGAGCAGAATCCTTTCCTTGGCTTTCCCCCATCTTTTTTTCTGAGGCTTGCAGAAAGTAGGCAGTGCTTGATTTTCCCAATTTACAATATTGGAACACTAACAATTGCCTTTACCTGCAACCCTGGTTTGAGCAATAAAGGAAGACACTGAATAAACATCGTCCACCCCCTTTACTAATTTCTGTAAGATTGTATTAGGTTTCATTGAGTACCTCTGATAATGCATCTCTTAATAATCTCACGTCCCCAAGTGGAACATAATATCTGCTTTTGTTTTTCATTAATTAGAAAAGAGACTATACCTACTCGTACTTGATGATGGTCCTTTATTTTATTTCAAGTGAATTAACAATATACCAACTACTTTAAGAAGCTGATGCTTCTTTCTCTAATTCTTCACCCCGAACTAAATACTCTGAAATAATATTTATAGCGAACTCATTTGATTAACATTTTTAAAATTTGATACTAAAAATCTATCTCTGAGAGCTCTAAGTTTGTCGTTAGCCAGTCAATTTAGCTTTGCCCATAAGGAGTTCCAAATGCATAAAGCACGTAATACAGTGTGTAATATTGTCTGTACCACTGTATTAGGCTGATGCCAAGACCAGGGTCAGAGGGGGAAACTGCAGCTCATTTGATATTGGCAATGAGTCAAATAGCTGGATGTTCTTATTGTAATGTTAACCTTTGCACTGGTGACTAAAGAAGATTTAAAGATCTTTTTAAGACCTTTTCTATTTTCTGAAATGCCAAATTAATCTAGTTAATAGTATGGAGTAATGGGTTAATACTATAGATTAATTAATACATTAGGAATGTGAATATTTTGTTAAATCTCAACTGATTAAATGATGGGTTTG